AATAAATAATAGAATAATTAATTTTTATTATTTAATATTTTAAAGTTAATTTATATACGAATATTTTTAAATACTATAATTAACTATTTATAAAATTTATATGACTCTAACACATAACTACACTACAAATACAAAATTATTAGATTTATTGTAAATATCTTCAAATTATTAATATTAATAAGAATTTAACTGAGTTAGTTTTTACTAATTGAAAAGTCTTAATTTCTTATTAATCAAAAATTTTAATTTAAAATTAAAGTCAAAAGTTTAAATCTTTACAATACCAAATAATTATTTTTTGATGTATCAAAAACAAAAAAATTCTTTCATACTAGTAATATTTTTTAAGTAATAATACATTGACATTCCTTTCATATCATTTTTCTATATAACATTCACATCTCATTAAATAAATTTATATGTACAATATCATAAATACCATAAACAAGTTATAAAAAAAAATTATCTATAAATAATTTTCCTTCCTTCTCTTTACCTCCTAGCTTGGTAAACTTGTAATGAATTTTTGTTAACCCTGTTGATTAGCACCTTCCAATATTTATATCATATGTTTCACTTTCTCTTAGAGTTAGTTTGGTTTGCAAAAAAATAACTTTATTTTGTGAAATCTTTTTATTTTTTACAGATTATTTTTTTATATTTAGAACATTTTAAAAAAAAATTTAAAAATATTTTCTATTGTTTGGAAAGTTATGGAAATTTTAAAATTTTTCAAAATATTAATTAATAAAATATTAAAAATTTAAACATGATAAAATAGTCATACACCCCTTTATTATTTTTAAATTGTCTATCATACCATTAAAATAAAATTTTATAGGCCAGTTTCTTGCAGAAAACCTTATAATTTTTTCTCTTGTTTGATAAGTAATGGAAAACCTTTTAATCTTTTCTACGTAAAACTGAGAATTTATTCCTAAAATATAGAATTTTCCGAAATGTTGAATGCAGAAAATTTTATGGCTAGATGCCACGCTGATTAAGGATAAAAAGTTTGTTGACTTCTGTCATGGGAACCATTAATGAATATGGAGAAAGGCAATGATACTTATTCATATTGGGCATAAAAGTGAGGACTTGATTTAACAAAATTTCTCAATCGTGGCAAGACAAGAAATTTCCTTGATGGAAGCTTCGGGCCTTCAGGCCTGTGTGTTTTTTTCTGAGGAAATTGACTTCTTGGTTTCATATCTGAAAGTTGATTTTCTGAAAACTACTTTTAAAATTTTTATTAATTAAAATTCTCTTTCATTGGCTAATATGTTTAAAAAGTTCTACATGTCAAAAAATGAGGAAAAAAATTTTCAACAAGTTATTTTTTGTGGAGCAAACGGATCTTAAATGAATCAAACACATCATTATTAATCAGATAGTAAATTCATTTCCCATAAATTTTGTCTATCTATTATAAAAATAAAAATAAAAATAAAAAATAGATATCTTCTTACTAGCTACTGCCTAAATATGTTGCGAACAGAAAATAAGAAGAAATATTAAAAAAAAAAATAGTGTTTATCCCACTTCCCTCCTAAAAATTAAGAGGTATATTATTCTAAAATTACGTTATTTTAATAAATACTTATTGAAAAATATTAAAATATTTTATTTTTAAAGCATAAATTAAGGTTTTTTTGTTTTTTTTTCTCTTAATTTTTTGGAGATAAGACAGATAAACACTAACCTCTTAAAAATATTTTTTTTTATTATATATACAAAATCTTATATATAGATTTATATAATAAAATATTCTTAAATACAAACTAATTTGTTTAAATGTATATAATCAATTATAATCTAAATATAACATTCTAACATAAATGTTAATATTCTAAAATAAATGTCAATATCTAACATTCCCTCAAATTCAAGGTAGTGGTAAAGAAACCAACTTGAGTTTAGAAAGAAAAGTTTGGAAGTGTCCAAGGAAATAGGCCTTGGTAAACAAATCTAAAAACTAATCAACAAAACTAATGAAAATTAAACGAACAATTCTCTTTGCAACATGATGACAAGTAAAGTGACAATCGACCTCAATATGTTTCATGCATTCATAGAAGACATCATTGTGAGCAATCTATATAGCACTTTAATTATCACAATATAAATCAGTAGAAGAAGGCTGAGGAATACCCATATCTTGAAGAAACCACCATAACGAAAGAAGTCTAATTAATGTGGTATCACCGAGAGCTCTATACTCAACTTCAATACTAGAGTGAGATGGAATAGTTTGTTTCTTGCTCCACTAAAAAATAAGAGAATTACTAAGAAAAAGGCAGTAACTAGTGATAGATCTGTTATGAGAAGGATCACTAGCCCAAGTGGCATTAGAGTAAGCACAAAGTACAAGGGAAGAGTTAGCAGAAAAATGGAGTCTATGAAACTATTTTTCCTTAACATAGTGAATAATGCGAAGTACTGCTGCGTAATGAGTGGATTGAGGAGTAGCCATAAACTGGCTAATAATGTGAACTGCATATGCTATGTTAGGGCATGTCATAGTAAGATAAATCAAACTATCAACCAATTGCCAATAGTGAGTAAGATTAAAAAGTGAAGAGTCATCCATAGGTATAAGTTTAACATTAGGTTCAAGAGATGTAGAAACACTCTCGTTATCATTGAGCTCATCTTTAGATACAAGATTGAAGCATACTTTACTTGAGAAAGAATGTAGCCATCTCAAATTTCCAACTAAGAAACTGTTTTAACTAATCAACACCTGCGATATCATCTTAAATAATAATTATGTCACAAAAACTCTAATTTTCATGTCATGTTGTCTTTTGGGAACCCATTATATTCTCATTGTTGTCAGACTTCAAAGTGTCATCCTTTCATCAACCTTCATTTTTTACTAATCCTTTTGTTGAGCTATTTCTTAATGATTTTGATGTAGGTACATTTGATGAGCTCTACAATGTCTCAACACATGCTTCAACTAGTTCTGCAGAAGATGATCTACCTGCTAGTAATGCATTAAATAATTTTAAGCCTTTCTTCACTTCCTCATATGTATCACCTATTTATGTTACATCTGATACTGTTGAGTCTACAAATAAGCTTATTATCCCACCCCCGAGTCATCCTACTCGAGTAAAAAAACCTCCCAACGACCTTTATGATTATCATTGTTTTCTTACTATTAGTTCTTCACATGAGTCTCAATCCTATCGAGAAGCCTCTTCTAACCCTCTTTGGTAACAAGCTATACAAGATGAATTACAGGCTCTTTAAAACACTCATACGTGGAATTTAGTTGATCTCCCTATTGAAAAGTTTTTAATAGGCTATAAATGTGTGTACAAGATCAAAATGCGATATGATGGTTCTATAGGGTGTTATAAGGCACGCTTGGTTGCCAAAGGTTTTACACAAGAGTATGGAATAGACTATAAAGAAACATTAGATCTAGTTACTCGTCTCATATTTGTGCACAATTTGCTTACTATCATTATTATGCAGAGATGAAAAATTTTCAAACGAATGTGAAAAATGCTTTTCTTAATGGTGATTTAGAAGAATAAGTTTATATGAAACCACTTCTTGAATTCAGTTATCCTCCAAGTAAGGTATGTCAATTGAGACATGCATTATATGGTTTAAAGTAATCCCCTCGAGTTTGGCATGCAAAATTTAGTGCTATTGTGAATTTTCAACTAAAATAAATGCTGAATTTCTAACAAAATCCATGGATGAGAGGTGTTAAATTTTCAACTAATTGATATGACAAATTCCAAATCTTAATCTTAATCGAGCATGTCGGCAGTGGCCATGGACTCAATTGACTTCAAATGGTAGTAACACTCAGCGTGTGAATTGGGGTTGTTTAATGGTGACACAATCGACTTGATCTGTTTGTCAGTAATGTGGAAGGTAAAGGAGTGATTCTAAGTTGCTTGGATGTATTGTAATTTGTAGCTTTCATTACAACTTCCAAATGCAAAGCGATAAAACTTCTTTGTAGCGTTTTCATTCCGCGGGGAGACCGCAAATTTTTTTTTCGTCTTTTTTCCAAATCTTAGACAAATCAGTGGGACAGTTTACACACTATCAAATTTGTTTTATTGTATTGTGTTTTCCTTCTTATCTTACTGTCATACTCGCGTCATGTAGCATTTAATGACTATAAAAAAAAAAAAAATACAAGATTTTCTTCTTTTTTTTTTGCCAT